GCATGAAAATACAGAAACGAAAAATCCTAAGGCTCGTAGCAGGCTGGATTCTCTGTGTGTGGGATTTCTGTGCCCCAGGCAGGGTTTTGATTCCCTGTAGGATCTGCTGTCACAAACTTCACTCCCTCTGGGGCTGTGTCACCTGCAGGGACAGAGGGTGCAAAACTGAAATTTTTATTGTAGCTTTTGAGGGTGATTCCCTCTCTCTCACTTTGGGCAGCGTTTTTGTCGTGTTCCAGGCTGGTTTAATGAAATTTAAAAAACCCAAAGGTGGGAGCAGCACAGGAGCGTTTTTACACACCCAGAATTAYCCATCACTTAATCCCCTCAGCATCCTGCACTTCTTCTGTTTTATCTGTGGGACCAAACGGTGAGCAGCCTCTGAACCATTTCCCTATCATTTTTTTTCATCTTAATGCGAAGAATTTTGATTCCTGCTGTTGGAGAGCCTTTCAAGCAGCCCCATAGCCTTTCTGATCCCCTTATCAGGGCCACAACAACACAAAGATTTCAGTTCCTCAGCTGCTTTTGTCGCCCACATTGAAGTTCCTAAATCACCCTGAAAACACAGAGGGGGTAATTAACAGGAACAATTAAAGCAGGAGCAGTGCAGGACAGTGGAGGAGATCAGAGGGGCCCCTCTAATGCTGCTTTGCAGCCCGGCAGAGAAAGAAAGGCCAATTAATTAAATTGAGTGATACTGAGCTGTTCTAATTCCTCTCTGAGCCCTGTGAGCTGAGAGGGGGTTCAGACACTGAGATGGGGAATTCCTGTCCCCCCACCCCAGGTCACAAATCATGGAATAATTTGGGTTGGAAAAAGCCATAAAGATAATTTTTTTTTCCGTCCTGAGTCCCATTCAGTGTGTGTACTGGGCTGGTTTGGGGATTTTTGGGTTTGGAGCAGAGAATTATGGATGGAAGGAAGAAAAAAAAACCCTCAGAGTCTCTCAAATTCTCTCATTTTCACAGCAGTGCAAATTGCTGGGGTGTTGGCTGTGGATCTCCTCGTTTTGACAGCAGTTGAAGGGTTCAGCATCAAAAATCTGTGAGACAATTCACTCTGAAGGCAGGCAGGKTTTTTTAGAGCTGGAGGAATTGGGTGAAACCCACTCCCAGCCACTTTTTGTCTCCAAAATTATCTTTGGAAGCTTTTCCTGGATTCCTGAATGACAGAATTTGCCTCCAAACCCCACAGCAGATAAAGGCTGTGCTTGGAGATTCCAGGTGAGCTGTGGAGCCCAGCCCCGTGGAATTTATTTATTTTCCTCTTTTTTATTTATATTTGCAGCCTTTGTCATCTTTATTTTGCTGTTCAAGGGCCTCTTCCGCCGCTGTTTTCTCCCTTGCTGGGAAATCGGGGATTTCAGACCTTTCCTTATTGCCTTAACTATGAAAAAAAAAAAAAAATTAACTTTGTGTCTTTACACCTTTTTTTGTGGCTTTTTATAGCGATGTTTGTGGCACTACCCACGAGGGGTGTGCCAGCTCTGGGGGCAGGAGGGAATGTGATTTCTGTGTAATTTCTGTGTAATTTCTGTGTGTTTTCTGTGTGTTTTTGTGTGTTTTCTCTGTGTTTTCTGCATGTTTTCTGTTTTTCTGTATGTTTTTGTGTGATTTGTGATTTCTGTGTGTTTTCTGTGTCTTCTGTGTGTGTTTTTCTGTGTTTTCTGTGTGATTTCTGTGTGATATCTGTGTGTTTTCTGTGGGTTTTCTGTGTGATTTCTGTGTTTTTATGTGTTTTCTGTGTGATTTCTGTGGTTTTGTGTGTTTTCTGTGTCATTTCTGTGTTTTCTGTGTGTTTTCTGTGTTTTCTGTGTGATTTCTGTGTGTTTTTGTGTTTTCTGTGTGTTTTTGTGTGTTTTCTGTGTATTCTGTGTGTTTTCTGTGTTTTCTGTGTGTTTTCTGTGTATTTTCTGTGTATTTTCTGTGCATTTTCTGTGTGTTTTCTGTGATTTCTGTGTTTTCATGTGTTTTCTGTGTGATTTCCATGTGTTTTCTGTGTGTTTTCTGTGTCATATCTGTGATTTCTGTGTAATATCTGTGTGTTTTCTGCGTGATTTCTGTGTGTTTTCTGTGTGATTTTTGTGTTTTCTGTGTGTTTTCTGTGTAAAGTTTTCTGTGTGTTTTCTGCATGATTTCTGTGATTTCTGTGTGATTTCCATGTGTTTTCTGTGTGATTTTTGTGATATCCGTGGTATCTTTGTATTTTCTGTGTTTTCTGTATGTTTTTTGCATTTTCTGTATGTTTTCTGTGTGATTTCTCGCAAACCCTCTCTCAGCCAATAAAACACGAACTAATTAGCATTTATTAGCATTTATTAACCCAGTCAGCTCTCAGCCATCCCTGCTGGGTCGGTGTTTTACAGCATCACCTCCACTCTTCAGCAGAGCTCAGTGGGGATGGAGGTGCTGACAGCCCAGGATGTTTTGCCCCAAAAAAATAATTTTATTCTTTATTTTGCTCTCAAAAGGTGAGGGGTTGAGAGGGAGGGGGTTCCTCAGCAGAGTGACACAGTGACAATCTGCGCTTTGTCCCGTGCGGGGCTGGCTCCTCTCCCAGAACAACACACTGCCACTGATTTTTTTTGGGTTTTTTTTTTGGGACCTCTGTGAGTTCCCAGAGCCCCCACAATCCCCTCTGGTGGGATCCAGCAGCTGTCACACGGCGTGGGACGGTGTCACCGGTGTCACCTTGTTCCTCAGCCCGTCTGCAGCCCCACAGGGGCCGGGGGTGGCCGGAGAGGATTTCGCTGTCCCTCGGGGGTGGTGACCACAGCACAGCATTCCCAGCAGGCAGCTCTGGAACTGGGCAGGGCACAGATTTAGTGGCAGCAGAGATGCAGCATCACCATTTTTATTTTGGGAAAGATCCCTGCCCGCTCCCAGCCCGACTCCCGGTGCTTTATGGACAATAAAAGTTTCGTTCTGTTTGTTCTGCGCCTCCAAGGAGCAGCTTGTGATCCAACCCCATAAAACCACGGAGGCGGAAAATGAGCTCTGCTTTGGGTTGGCAAACTGCTCCCTCCCTTTTTTAATTCCCCAAATCTTTGCTGCGTACCCAGCACCCCCGGGATCGCACCTCCAGGTAGGGTGGGTGGTTTCTCCGGGATTTTTGAGCCCTTCAAGCTGCCCTCCAGCAGCCCCAGGGAAGCTGTGGCTGATTTTTTTTTAATTTTATTTTAGTTTTTTTGGAGGTTTCCCTCTCACCTGCTTGTTCATGAAGACGTAGATGATGGGGTTGTAAACCGTGGCTGTCTTGGAGAAGTAGGAGGGCAGGGAGGCCAGGGCGGGTTGGATGACGATATCCTTGTTGGTGGCCACCACCAGGGCGAAGGTGGCRTAGGGCAACCAGCAGGCGAGGAAGGCCACCACCATGGCCACCACCATGCGCGTCACCTCCCGCTCCGCCTGCTGCGTGCTGTCCGACTGCCGCTGCTGCGCCGCCGCCTGCGGGGTTGGGGACACGGGGACGGGGCTGTGAGTGCTGGGGACGGCCCTGACATCCCCTGAGGGTGGGAAATACGGCGGTTTGGTGATGTTTGAGGGGGCTTCAGGCAAGGATTTTGTTGGTGTTTGCCCCCGGAGGGAGGTGAAGGTTCTTTGGAGGGCGTTGTTCCACCAGGGGAGGGCTGAGGAGATGGAAATCTCAACGGAGTGGGAGGGGACAGGGGAGAAGGGACATGAGTGACCATCAGTGACCATCAGTGACCATCAGTGACCAGCAGGGACCAGCAGGGACCAGCAGTGACCATCAGTGACCAGCAGTGGCCATCAATGGCCATCAGTGACCAGCAGTGACCAGCAGTGACCATCAATGGCCATCAGTGACCATCAATGGCCATCAATGGTTAACAGTGACCATCAGCGACCATCAATGGCCGACAGTGACCATCAATAGCCATCAGTGACCAGCAGTGACCATCAATGGCCATCAGTGACCATCAATAGCCATCAGTGACCATGACTGACCAGCAGTGACCATCAATGGCCATCAATGGCCATCAGTGACCATGACTGACCAGCAGTGACCATCAGTGACTATCAACGGCCATCAGGGACCATCAATGGCCATCAGTGACCATCAGTGGCCATCAGTGACCATCAGTGACCATCAACAGGCACCAGTGACCATCAGTGACCATCAATGACCATCAGTGACCATCAATAGCCACAAGTGACCATCAACAGAACATCAGCCCCAAACCTCCACCTTGGCATGGTCAGACCTGGTCTGGGAAAAGAGATAATGAGGAGATAATGAGGAGGACCTAATTAACATCAGAGGGGAAGAAATCCAGATCCAATAGGAACCCAAATTCTAAGARTTACACAACATTAATGATCATTAAACCAATAAAGTCCTGTGAGTTTTGAYTKTATRAAGTTTGGGGGAAATCTTGTAAAACCCGCGTGGTCATGGAATGATTTTCCCTGCGATGAAACACCCTGGTCAGAACAACACCCTGGCAATAAAATAAAATAATCCCTTGACTTTCTGAGGGTCCTGATGGCAGCACCAGGGTCCTGATGGCAGCACCAGGGTCCTGATGGCAGCACCAGGGTCCCCAAAAGCTGCCCTGTGGCTCTTGGTGGCCGTGGGGTGGCCGGAGGTGGCACTCACCGCCCGCAGGGTCAGCAGCAGGTTGGCATAGGAGAACAGGATCAGGCTGAGGGGCAGCACAAAGCAGGTGACAAACAGGGCCAGGATGTAGCTGTTGTTGGTGCTGCCCCCCGTGTACCAGTTGGGCCCGCAGGAGGTCCTCAGGCCTGGGAAAAAGGGTCGGGAATGAGACCAAAACCATGAGGGGATGGGATAAAGGACCAGGAATGAGCCCAAAACCATTAGGGGCCGGGAAAAGGGTCGGGGATGAGCCCAAAATAGTTATGGGGCGGGATAAAGGGTCAGGAATGAGCCCAGAACCATTAGGGGCCAGGATAAAGGGTCAGGGATGAGCTCAAACCCTTTAGGGGCTGGGATAAAGGGTCAGGGATAAGACCAAAACCATCAGGAGTCGGGATAAAGGGTTGGGAATGAGCCCAAATTGGTTATGGGGTGGGATAAAGGGTCGGGAATGAGACCAGAACCATCAGGAGTCGGGATAAAGGGTCAGGGATGAGCCCAAAACCTGTTACGGGCTGGGATAAAGGGTCGGGAATGAGCCCAAAACCATTAGGGGCTGGGATAAAGGGTGAGGGATGTACCTGAAACTATTAGGGGCCAGGATAAAGGGTCAGGAATGAGACCAAAACCATCAGGGGCTGGGATAAAAGGGTCAGGGATGAGCCCAAATTGGTTATGGGGCGGGATGAAGGGTGGAGAATGAGACCAAAACCTGTTAGGGGCCGCGATAAAGGGCCAGGAATGAGACCAAAACCATTAGGGACTTGATCAAAGGGTCAGGACGAGCCCAAATGGGTTATGGGGAGGGATAAAAGGTCAGGGATGAGCCCAAACCTGTTCGAGGCTTGATTAAAGGGTCAGCAATGAGACCAAATTGGTTATGGGGCGAGATAAAGGGTCAGGGATGAGCCCAAATTGGTTATGGGGCTGGGATAAAGGGTTGGGAATGAGCCCAAATTGGTTATGGGGCGGGATAAAGGGTCGGGAATGAGCCCAAACCCATTAGGGACCGGGATAAAGGGTTGGTACCGGGTTCCAGAGCACCCATGGCACCCGAACATCTCTCCCTTTTCCATCCCCAGGGCCTGAGCTCAGCCCTGTGGGGTTTGGGCTGCCTGGGTGCCCTCTGGGATTGGTTGTGGGGTTGTGCCAAACCCCTACAGAGGCAGATTTGGGGCTGCTCCCCAGTGTCCTGTGCTGGGGAACTTCCAAGGAACATCCTCCAGGAGGGGATTAGTGGCTGATTGAGCAGGAGTAATTAACAGGAGATATTAACCCTTCAAACCCCGGCAGAGAGTGACTCTACAGCCCCACAAGATGCAAGGAGATGGGAGTCTGAGGCACATCTCCCCTCCCCTCCAGCCCCTCTCCCCTCCTCCATCTCCTCCCCCCTGTTCAGGCCAATCTCCCCTCCTTCAGTCACATCTCCCATCCTCCATCCCTCTCTCCTCCATTCCCTCTTCCCTGTCCATCCCCTCTCCCATCCAGTCCCTCTCCCCT